CCTCACATGTTTTATAAATCATGATTTCCCTCACATGTTTTATGTTACCACCATTACTTGAATTTCCTGCCTCTAAATCTCTAGCTATATATAAATTGCATAAATTGCTAAAACAATAAACACATACCAAATTTCTTACAAAACACTTTTTCTAATTAAGTTCAACCATGTCTAGTCCAAAAATTGACTCTGAAAGGGCTATGATGATTAAATTAGGACAAAGAGCAGTTAAGAAATTTTTAGATGAGATGAAAAAAGAAGATCATGAGGCGAAGATGAGTAACTTACACCATTTGATTTCACGGGGTGAGAAAAGCTAAGGATTGAAGAGCTATCCAAGGAAGAGTTGGATGGTTTCATCAAGTCTCTCCATGCTCTACCTGTTACCGAAAATAGACCATAAAATGTAAAGCATAATCATGCTTTGTTTCTATGTGTTTGACAAAAAATATGAATAAAATTTGGTTCATTATTATCTCCTTTCTAATGTTATTTTATACCATTATATAATTGTTTATGGGAAAATTTGTTTGTAAGGACCTTATATGTTTAAAGTTGTCTAAAGGGCCTTATAAGTTTCTTTTGTTGTTTAGGGGGGCCTTGAGGTCGGAATCTGGCAATATTTGGTTGTTTTCTCCGACGTTGACCTCTCAAGTGACCTTAAAAAGTTTTTATATTAAAATAAAGGTTATTATGTTGAAATAAAAGTCATTATGACATTACAAAAGCTATACGAGGTTATTTATTTATTTTTTTTTTATGAAAATTTTAATATATTGGTCAATATGAATAATGAAGGTCACTATGTTAAAATCAGGGTCACTATGTTCAACATAACTCATACTTTAGATTCACAATAACATTAAAGGTCACACAAGTTTTAATAAAGATTACTATGTTAAAAATAAGGTTACTATGTTAAAATTAGAGTCAATATGTTCAATATAGCATCATGTGTATATAAACCTCATGTGCACAATAATATTATTGTGGATTTGTGGACCAGGTCCACGCAAAATTAGTTGATTGGGAAAATAGTACATCTTACACTAATAAAGTTTGGAAAATACAAATATGTTTTTTATTAAGGTATTTTTTTGGACATGAATTAAGTTTGTTATTTTTAGATTAAAATATTGTTTATTGCAGTATTAATCCTTTCTACAAGTTTAGATATGGATATAAATAAATTTTGTGCGGAGTATTAACTTTAGGCTTTAGTCCATTTGATCAAAATCAGAGCTTTTTGTTATTCAATTCCTAATTTATCCAGCATTTGACCATGTTGACTTTAAGTGAGTTACATAGTACATTACAATAGAATAAGGCCATGATCTCTTCGCCTTATTTTTGATGAACTGAAATTATTTTTACAGAACTGAAATTAGTTTTGCTGAACTGAAATTATTTTTACTGAATTGAAATTATTTTTACTGATTATCTATTATATTTCTTCTTTAGAGTTACTGATTTTTACTGAACTGAAATTATTTTTACTGAACTAAAATTAATTTTACTGAACTGAAATTATTTTTACTTAATATTATTTTTTTAAGGTGAACTGAACGGGGCCTAATTGTCATTGATAATATAGCTAATGTGTTAGGATATAACTTTTTTTTTGATTGAGTCAATCGTTTTTATTAAATAATATATCTTTTATTTACCGTGTAAATCGATAACTATATACTAAAAGACACACCATCAATGACACATGTCGTTTTCTGGTGCGTTCTTAGTTTTGTTTTTTATTTTTTTTTAAATTGAAAGCTTATTTTGGGCAAAAATTTCTAATCAAGTTAAAAACAATTAAGTAAAATGTAAATAGCCATAATGGTAGCAAAATAATTATAACAAGAATTTATGTAGCAAATCAATCTTAGCAAGAGTTTTTTATTTTATTTTTATTTTTATTTTTTTTGTCTTTTTCAACAATCTTCTCTACTTTCTATACTAGACTTAGGCTAAATTAAATTTCGTTTTTTTTAAATGACTAAAGAATCAAATACGAAATATTTTTTCTAAAAAAAAAAAATTCAAACAATCATAAAACATATTTCATTCAAGTACTCTAATGTTTTAATTTAAGAAAAATAGTATGTATATATTCAATAATTTTAAGTAAAAATTACAAACACTCTTTTAATGATAACTTTGATAATATCAAAAATATTGAGTATAGTATTAAACTAATGATAAATTATGAAGAACATCATGCATGGCAGGGGACCTAACCTAGTTAATATTTAAAGCATGATATGAAAGATTACACTCTCTCTATTTTGTAATTGTTTGAAAACTACACATTGATACAATTCTAAGTACAATTAGTTAATATGGTGTATGTAAATTGGGAAAAAATGAAATTGAGAAAGGTGACAAAAATTCTTATATTTACTTGGGGTGTAATGTGTACCTAAGATTATTTTTTGCATATTTTTGATAAATACTGTTAATTTAACAAATAATTAGCAAATGTGCAAGAAACACTTTTGGGTGTACTTTGTATTGAGTGTATTACAATAATCTTCATAAAACTATAATTAATGATATAAGATATTTTGTTAAGTCAAAATAATTAGCTAGTCAAATAATACTTTACTTCCCTGTAATTCCCTCTTCCCTATCCTCTCCTTTCTCCTCTTGTCCTCTCTTTTAGAATTTTATAAATTGTTTGTCGTTAAGCCTGAAATAGTCTAATTTCTCTTGAAATTAGACTATTTTCGACCCTTTATCTTGTTTTTATGTAACTTTAATTTTTAGTTTTCTATATATCTACACAAGTAATATAGATATTCACTCGTCTCTCAATGGCGGACTCGTTATTTTTTGTTAGTATAGTTGTTTGTCTTTTGCTAGAGTTTATATGTGAATTAGGGCTTATAAAATAAATCGTTAGACTGTCTCTTTGAAAAGGCTGCATATTTCAGCGATATGTACGAGATATGTACCACAGTGCAACATCTATTCAACGATCGTAGATTTGAAGAAAGGAACCTTTAGTTGATTCTATTTTATTTATGCATTTGTTAATTTATATTTCATTTATAGATGTCGTATGGATTCTTATTAATGAACTAATTTTGTTGAAAAAAAATTTCCTCTATTTTTATTTTTAGTGCCCCATTTTAATTAGGCATGTCAATGCAAAATTTGACCAATTGTTCTTTAATTATTAAACAAAATATATAAATTATTAAAAAAATTATATTTGAAGACTATTCTAACAAGCACCCACACGATTAAATTTGTCTTATAAATGAATCGATAACATTGGTTAAAGTGGTTTAAGTATATAGTGCAAAATGTTTATATATAACACTTAAATAAACACAGAGTAAAATTAATTTCAGTTCAATAAAATAATTTTAATTCTATAAAAATATTATAGAAACTAGTTTTATGCCCCGTGCAACGCCCGAGTTGTTTATTGAATTTTGAGATAAAATTTTAATTTATGTGTCAAATTTTAAAATATATCTCTAATACAAATTAGTTAGGAATTGATGTACTTTTGTGACGATTTAAACTACGTAATAGGCATGTAAATGACTAATAATAATATTGGTATTTTTCTTAGAGTTATAATCTAATATTTTTTTTGAATAAAATTTTAATTCAATTTATACATATGAAATATTTGTATTTTATTGAAAATAAAATTCTCAACTAACAATTTTATCGTAAAATTCTGTCCAAATTTGATTGAAAATAGAATTCTAAACTAATTTTTTTTTTATCCTATGAAGCCTATATTATCTAAATATATCCAACGTGGCGCGACACTTGACGAAAAGTTGGAATGCCAAGTGTCGTTGTCTCGTGGCATGACTAAAAGTTTAGCTTTATATATTAGTTGTGTGATTGGGGCCACTATCTCTTTCTCCTTCCCTGAGGCAAATCGTGATATTGAGCAAGAACATACGCCGCAAATCACCTCATCTCAGCAAAACCCACCAACCACCGCATCCTAGCAGCAAATCACCAACCACCGCATCACCAGCCAAACCCACCAACCACTGCATCACCAGCCGCAAATCGCACCGTATCACCGCAAATACATCGTCATCTTCATTTTGAGGGGTTTTTGATTGATTAAGTAAATGCATCAATTTCTTCAATTTGGTTGGATGATTCAAGTGTATCAATGTTATTTTGTGATTTGTGTGCCCTAAAATCCTTTATTTCTTTGAAAATTGAAATGAATTGAATGGGTAGTTGTGTTTGAAGGGGAAAGGGTTGCTGAACGAAATATTGGGTGCGAACTGCCGTACCTAATAGTTGCGTATAAAATATAGTCAAAGGTAGAGATTATTGGGTTTTAGCCCATTTAACGGCCTTAATTTTGGAATTTTGACAATTAACACCTTCTATTATGTCCATTTTAGCAATTACCACCTTCTTTTTTTTTTTTTGAAAATTACCACCTTCTATTTTCAAAAACATCAAAAGTTACCACCTTCTTGCCTCCCAACTACCACATGACGTCATTTTAGGCCCATTCTTTTCCTTCCCTCCCTATATCCCTCACATTTCTCATTCCTAACTCGATTCTCACCCCCCTCCCCCCTTTCACTTTTTTCCCCCAAAAAATCAGAAACACTTCAATTCAGTGCTCCAAATCAAAATTGTCGAACAATTATTGGTGGTTTGAGGGAAAAAAAAAGTGAAAGAGGAGATGAGAATCCAAATAGGAATGAGAAATGGGAGGGAAATAGGGAGGTAAGGTAAAGAATGGGCCCAAAATGACGTCATGTGGTAGTTGAATTGGGAGGCAAGAAGGTGGTAACTTTTGATGTTTTTGAAAATAAAAGGTGGTAATTTTCAAAAAAAAAAAAAAAAAAAAAAAAATAGAATGTGGTAACTGCTAAATTGGACATAATAAAGGTGGTAATTGTCAAAATTTCTAAATTTCTCTAATGTAGTGCATGCACTTGATTGACTATACTTTGCCAACCTAAGTCACGATTACTGAAGTAGCTAGTTTAGCATATAAATCACCTAAATTGACCATTACCCTTTCAAAAAAGAATTAAAGTTTAAAGCTTAATACACAAAGGAGTTTTCCTTTAAAAGAAAAAAGGATTTAAAACTCAAAAAGAGCCCAAATATACTAGAGACAATTTAAATCAAACAATTTAGGGATACACTCTTTGCGCAAAGAGAATTGAGACATTCTCGGCACTTATTATTATATTCCGTGCTATAAAAATGCGCGAGACTTAGTTGACTTTACTACAAACCTTCCTAATCTGTCCTTGATCACCTAGGAGGACATCAAGGGCTTGCATTTTAATCATAGCTCTTACAAATTTGGTATTGAATAGAGCACCATTTTGAGCAAATTGCCGAACAAAGCCACTTGTTAAAGGATGTCGTGACAAGGCTTGATCTATTGGTAAGATTCCTCGTCCTTTGAGGAGTTGATCAAAGTAAGAGTTGTCAAATTTGTTCGAGCTTTGTAGATTTTGGTCCAAAAATGCAAAGTTATTTGTTCTTGTGCCTCGGGGGCAAGTACGACTTAGTTGTTGACGAAGGTTTGAGTCCATATTTAGGTCAAATTGGCTAGTACCTTCATAAAGTCGATCTTGGAAGAATGAACAGTGTGATTTTCCAATAGTGTGTCCACCACCTAATTCAATGAATTACACATTTATAAGAATTCTTGATTATTTCCAATAATTATTAAATGGTTGATTCATAAAATAGAAAAAAAATGAGAAAAATTACAACTATACCAAAAAGAAGCACCATTTCTTCGGGAGTAAATTTTTTTTCCTTAAAGGCTAAGATACTTTCGGTAGCAGATCCGGATGGGTTTGGAATTCTCACATCTCGGGCGTTAGATACGAGTCCATCTCTTCGTCCGGTTTGTACAGAATATACTGGCCCACCACCCTATTTAGGTAGATCCATAATTTGATTAAAAATGTTATTCACTAGAAATAATAAACATTAAGTTTAATTTACTAAATTATAAGGGCAAAGAATGAGGATGTAAGTTTAGAACATGATTATTAATTTACCAGCTTAATAAGTTCTGTTGTTGCAATTGCAATAATGTCAGCACAAGAGACGACTTCAGGACATTCTGCTTCAGCCACACCCTTCAAAGTATCAATAAACTCGTACCCTCTAACACTCAAATTAGGACCCGCAGTTTTCTCAGATGATGGTCCATTAATTAAAATTGATGCATCACACCCCTGAGAAAAGAACCAACTCGTTAAATAAACCATATCTATATATTAAAACGAAATCTCATGTACAATTAGCTACTATACTACAAATATTGCGCTAGGTTTGATTAAAAAAAAAATACTTACATGGACAAAGCAATCATGAAATTGCATGCGAAGGAGAGCCGGAAGAAGAGTTGCATCCTTACGAAAAAGTTCTTGGACTTTTATAGTTATGGTAGCCTCAATGTCAACATTTCGTTTAGGACATAAACCCTTATAGAAGCCTACTTGCAAACCCGAAGGCCTCGATGGAGTATTCGAATAAATTGGTTTCGGACTTGAAGGACTTGACGGATTCGTAGGTAAAGGGCTCATAGGACTAAATGGACTAAAAGGAGTAAAGGGGGTAAATGGAGTGAACGGGAAAGAATTGTCGTCTTCTAGTGAAGAATGTAAAATACGTGAATGTTTACGACCCTCTAATGTTGCTTGACCATCAAATGTACCGCGATGACCTAACCTAGAACGCTTTGGCAATTTGGAAGCATGACTCTCACCAACATGGCTCAATACCAAGATGAGCAATATGGTAGTTGCCTTAAGTAATAATGTAGCAAAAGTTGGAAGACTCATTATATTTATTGAACGCTCTCTTCACTTCTTTAGTACTAAACTAGTTAGTATGTTGCTCAATTATAATGATTTGTTTTTGTAATATGAGCAATATTTGGTGGTTTAGTCCTTTGAGAATGCATCACTTATATATGCTTGGAAGAGCAAGCATAAGAATTTTGTTTATTCAAGATACCAATTAAATAATAATGCAACATGGACGAAGTTTCTTTTGTTCCTATAATGTAGTAAGATGATTAGAATTAGACTACATTTTCTTATTCGATTAAGATCTAACATGAGATTTATGCTGTTTAAAAGCATATGATAGGGTAAAATCAATAGAACATGAAGCCGCAATGATATGGAATACACTAAAGAGTATGTAACATAATATGTATGCCACCTGTTTTAGTTTTTTAGTGACTCGTTATATTATGCTTGGAGTTTTTGGAGACTTATATGTGGAGATCGAGTATAACATTTATAACCTCTATACCTCAATACAAAAAAGTTTTATAAGGTATTATAGAGGAGTTCAAACATTGGCTAGAAGCAAAGAGAACCACTCCAGTCTCTAGACCGGGAAGACCTTAGATCAAACCGGAGCAAAGAGAACCGATCCAGTCTCTAGGTCAAGATTTTATTTTTTTAAAAAAAAATTGATTATTCAATTCAGTCTAATAATCCACAACCCCTTTAAAATAAGCCTGGTTTTTTTGTTTAATATTATGAATGAAACTTGTATAATGATTTTATCTTCAATATGATATAAATATTCTTATATTATGCACTGTATATTTATTTACTTCCTCCGTTAACTATTATTTGCTACAAAGGGGATGTTTGCGGACTCCTAAGCAAAATTTGTTTGTGAGTGTAAAATAGAGAGAGAAAAAGTTGGTGCATGTGATGAGGAGAGAGATAGAGAGAAATGAATCAAATGATAACCTAAAAAAGAAAGAAAACATTTGTTGCACATAATACTTAACATTCATTTATAGTATATGTTGCAAATAATAGTTAACGGAGGAAGTATTTATTTTTATGTTAGGTACTTAAAACAAGCCGATATTAATTGGAATTTAGTTAAACCTCTAACTCTTGAATTTTAAATATTCAGCCATTGAGTCCTATCTAATTTGATCTGGTCTTGGATTAGTGAATAGTCCCAAGATATTCACTTACAGTCCCACAAAAATTTCCAAATTTATGAAAAGCTACCTAGTATGGAGCACATCTTGGGTTCAAATAAGTCAGATCCCCTGCAAAATTATAGCTACCTTAAACATCGGTTTATTCCTAATGTATCTAACCTAGCTGTGATTAATTTTAAATCAAACGCCCTAAAAACTAGAATTATTGCATGTCACCCTACTTTTAGGAATGCCTATTTAATTATATATGAACTATGATTAGCTTATATTTCTAGTCAATCTGTTATTCAAATGAAGAATATTACATTTTATTTACAACTTTTTTGTTTATTGTTTTTTTTTTTTAAAGATCATATTACATACAGCTTATATTAACCTTACATTAGATCTTAGACTTATTTTTAATGCCAATGAAAATGTTTGCAAACGAAAGTCAAATTTATAATTGTAATAAAAAAAATGAAAAGTCAAATTTATTTTACCTGATATATGAATATCCATGTGATTAACACATGTATTATAAAGTTATTTGAGTTGTAGCTGATGTTCAGAAAGATTAAAAACTACTGCAATTGCCGTTATTGTTTGACTAGCTATATATTCCAGGTAGTTGTTGTTGTTGGAGAAGAAGTAGAATGTAAATGCACATGATGGATCTCCATGCTAGCATATACTATACGATTTCCGGCCTGTTCTCATTGACTGAATTGAGCTGAAATGAACTGAACTTATTAGAGCTGAACAGAACAGAACTGAACTAATTAGAGCTGAACTGAAGTGAACTGAAAATAATCGTATTAGAACAGGGCCGAAGTATACAACAATGTTGCAGTGGTCACTACTTCACTTATAGGTTGCATGGCCTGATTTTGCTTCTTTGTTAAAATGTTTGTTTATATGTATTAATATATATACTTGTGATAGCACTGTCAAACGGTTTGACAGTTCGGGTTTGGTTCGGTTTGAAATCGATTCGGTATTAAATCGGGTCGGTATTAAATCGGTTTAAGTGTCTCGCGGGTCGGTTTTAGTTCGGTTTAAATATTTATCGGTTCGATTCGGTTTCGGTTTAATCTTGATCGGTTTTAATTCGGTTCGGGTTGTAAACAGTCCGGGTAGTAAACGGTTCGATGCAAACGGGTTGCGGTTTGTTAATGGTTTGGTGTAAACAGTTTTTATCCCGGTTCAAACAGTTTCGGGTTGGAAGCGGTTTCGGGTTGGAAACAGTTCGGTTCTTTTATGGTTCGGTTTATAACTGGTTCGGTTTTTTTCGGTTCAGTTTATAATTGATCCGGTTCTTTTTTGGTTCAATTTATAACTAGTTCGGTTCTTCTGCGGTTTAATGTTATTCGGATCGGTTCCATTCCGAGTTTACTAAATTACGATTCGGGTCGGTTTTCGGTTTCAAAAAATCAATTGTTTATCGAGTCGTTTGGATTTGGGCAGTTAAATGGTTTTGGTTTGAAATTTGATAGTATTTGCTGGTTAACAAGTTTTATATAAAGTAAAAACTTCATCATTTCATATTTAGGCATCATATTATAAACAAATTCACATTGATTTTATAAATATATATCATGTTCTGTTTCAAGTTTAGTCATATTGATCTTACTAGTGTATTACGAAGTAGATTATAAAAGTTAGTGAATTAATGTATTATTGTTTTACAACTAGGTTGTTATATGTTTCTTATTTAATCATTTAAATACTAGTGTCAAAGTCATGATTTGATGAGTTCTTATTAAATGGAAATTTGCAATTTGGTAATTCGATACTTGATTAATCAACAAGACTGATAATTATGGCTCGTTTATCTTTATATATTTTCATGAAATTATGAAGATATTACAAAGTAGTTTGATTTGTGTAATGAAAGAAAACATTAATGATTTATTAACAAGGTAATATTGATTAGTTCAATCGATCGTATGTACACATTAACGCATAACATCTAACCATCTCATAGTTAAATACTTCGTATGTATTAGTACAAAGTTATAAATTAGTGAACATTATTTTGATTGGATCAATAACTTGAGCTGTTGTTTTAAATTAAATTAGGATCATTGTTCGTGTAGTTTAAGTATAATGATCTACACCATCTCTAACTATTATTTTAATACTCCATCCGTCCCTTTTTTTTGTCCCTTTGTCATTTTTGGGGTCAAACTTTGAAAATATTGACCATAAATTACCACTAATCTATAAAACAGTAAAACTTAATTTTGTCACGAGACTCATGAGTCATGACTCATGAGTCATGACTCATGACTTCATGAGTGATCTTTTTAAATTTGTATCATTATATATTTTATTAATATAACGTTTTTATAATTGTTACTTGTATGAAAATAAAGATATACTACGTAGATGTTTTAATACGCGTCTTGGAGACTGATCCCGATCAAATGAATACACAACACACAAAACATCATCTAATCAGTCTCAACCATAGATCAAAAACAATCTACGGTTAATTTTTTTCTCCCACAACACACACGGATCACCACTCTCAACCATAGATTAAAAACAATCTACGGTTAGCTTTTTTTCCCCACAACACACACGGAAAACCATTCTCAACCATAGATTAAAAAATCAATGGTTAGATTTACATCTCAACCATTTTGATACCCTAATTCCACTTTCACTTTCACGCCTCCTAGTTCTTTCTCTCTCTCATCTCCTCTCAGATCTCACTCATTCATTCACGGCGCCTCTTCGTTTGTCGTCTCTCTCATTCATTTTCAATTCTCCCTAATTCATTCACGGCGCCTTTCGTTCGTTGTTGCTGCTCATCGGTGTTGTTGCTGCTCTAATCCTCGCTTATCAGTGTTGTTGCTGCTCTAAACCTCTCTTTTTTTGTCCAGGTATGATATCTCTCTTCCTCGTACTTCTTGCAACTGATTTAATCTGATTTATGAAGTAGAAGAATTAAAGTTGTAGTTGATTTAATGAGTATATAATTGTATAATTGTAATTTAGTGGTTTACTGTATAACTCTGATTAGTGGTCTATCTTAAGTTAGTTAGTATTTGACGGTTGTATTTCTTGACTGCTTTGCATTATTGTTTGCATATCAATCAAAATGAATCAAGATTAAAGAATTGAACAGGAAAGAGTGAAAGACCAATAATCAAATTTGACATTAAAATTTAGGTTTTCTAAGCTACCACACTATATAACATAGTTGTCCACTACGTTTTGCATTATTATAGTTATAATTCCCCTTAATGAGTATATAATTGTATAATTGTAAGTTAGTGGTAATAGTATATAATATGGGTTCATCTTATTTAATTTTCTAGTAGTTAAAAATTAATGGGTTGCTACTGAAATTTGATTATATGAGTTTATTAGCATTTATAGAAAAATAATATGGGATTAATGACTTTTCACTCTCTATTCTATTTGTTGGTTTCACTATTAAGTGTACATCTCAATGTAATGGGTTTTCGACTCTTAACTAGAGTGTAAAAAGTACCTAAATGTGTTAGCATTGATAGGGACAATTATTTGTTATAAGGCTGAAATGTGTTGTTTTGATCCTGTTTTTTCAGCAATGGATCAAGGGTATGAAAATTATGATGAGGACAGACAAGATTATTTAGAAACTTCAGATTCTCAAAACACTATTCAAAATCAAGATTCTTCTCAGCAACAAGTCACTACCACTAGTGGTAGTAAGCGTGGACGAACATCAGATGTGTGGAGGCATTACACCTTTTTTGATAAGATTGTTGGTCTTGCTCCGATAAGATATGCGCGATGCAATGTTTGCGGTAATGAATATAAAGCACCAGGTAAGGCTGGTACTTCCACTTGTAAAGCTCATACTAAGGCATGCATGGGTAAAAATATACATCATCCTGCAAATCTTGAAAGTGTTGTTGATCCTACGTTTAATCAAACTCGTCATTTACAATTGCTTGCTAGA